ATAAAGTAATTTTAAAAAAAAACTTGAAATTACTTGTGTTAGACACATAATCATATCTAACGTTTAAAGGATAGTAATCATGTTCATGCATGCATGTGATTTTTATTCTGCCCCCATTTGCATTGCATTTGTACTTATTAACAGATGACCTTTAACCATGATGTAGGTTAGAAGCTGCGTCAAATGCAATCACACTCATCCCGAAATCTGCTTCTGGTTGGCTAAGTAGGTAGTTCTGCACCCGAATGCTGTTAAAATTGATCCTTGAATTATTTTCTTCAATGTGAGTTGATAACATCTTTATTTTAACCAACATTTTGGGCCCGTGGTGAAGGGTGTGTATATTGATGACAACATTAGGTCCTAGGTTTGGTATCGAATACTTCCTTCTCCTTTCCCTTCTAAAAAAAGGAAGCTACAATAATTCCATTACATAAGAAGTTAAGCCTAAAATAAACATATTATAGAAAATGATATGGCCATTACATAACCTTGTTGAACCATGAATCCATTAGATCAAGTATAAACAAAAAGAATCACCAAGGACTTGAGAGATTGGGCCGTCATGGGTTAAATAAAGTGAGCATCATTGGTTAAATAAATTAAGCCGCCATCTGCTCCAAAAAAAATGCGTAAGGTGCCACCTTCGGGCGAGGTCAAAGCCAGTGGTGCGATGGGAGGCACAGACAGTGCAGACCAAAAACATTGCATGGCAGTAAAACCACATTTTGCAACTATTGCTCGATGGCCCCATTTAGCAAAAGCATGAATCAGTAATTCACATTTGTGGATATGCATATTGTAAATTTTATTTTATCAACAGACTAATTTTAAACACTCAATAGTGTAGCTGATTTCTCTTTTGGCCAGCAATCGTATAGTTGATTAAGTGATGGAGGAAAAAAAATCATAATATGCGTTAAATAAAGGAATCTAAGAGACCATACAGAGCTATAATCGTTAAACTTAATGGCACGGGTAAATTCATCAGGAACAACAATTTGCGGCATCAATTCCTGCAACAGATATTACGCACAGCCAATGGTAAATGAAAGTAAATTTAAAAGCGCAATTTAGTTACCAGAATGCATATGCTCGCTTTCTTTATGTTGATAACACTAATTTTTCAACCATGCAACCGAATAAAAATGCTCGAAGACTGAACCACAGTACCATAAGGCTGGCAATAAAATTTAGTACACTATGTTTATTTTTTTATTATACGTTGATGGTCTCTAGTAGTTGCCATCAGTTATTGTGGGTTTAATTTATACTGGTTTTTATGATCCATTGCATTTACTATCAGTTATTTTAGTGGATTGTTTATACTAGAAAAAGAAAAAAATAGGGGCAGGTTCTTTTTAGGAAAAAGATCCCTCGAAGTCCAACTTGGTGGTTGGCGTGGACACTCGGTTCAATTTTCGCGAATGATAATTGAAAGTTTTATCATTATTGCAGTGTTTAGAAATATTAATTAGTTGTGAACTCCTTTGTCAACTTGGTCCCATGGTCTAGTGGTCAGGACATTGGACTCTGAATCCAGTAACCCGAGTTCAAATCTCGGTGGGACCTTTTTCTTCCCTATTTCCACTTATTGTTTTCTCTTTTCCACACCATGATTTCCACCCCATTGCGGCTAAGGGAACTTGGGGAAACAAAATTCAAAAATTTAAGATTTGATTGGAGTCATTAAATTTGGTTCAGTTTTATTAAACTATATCTGATTTAGTTGTAAAAGCCGGTTTATTAGGGCTGAAGGAATTTAGAAAAAAAATGAAGAAAATTAAGGTTGGTTTAAATAATTCTTTTCATAAAATGCATTTTGATGTTTAAATAATTCTTTTAATAAAATGCATTTTGATTATTATTTATATCAACTTTGTTTTAGTTTGATTTTTTATTTAGATTTAAGATATAATTTTAATTTCATAATCGATTCAAATTAGTAATAATATCTTTCATTTTAATTGTATCAATTTGATCTTTAGATTTTTAGAAGTATATCAATGTTGTCATTTGACCAACGGATAAATTATAAATTATAAAAATATTAAAAATTGATCGCTTTTATAAGAAAAAATCTTTTATTTTCTCACGTCAGCTTAAGTCTATCATTATTTCTGAAACTTATTCTCAGTCGAATCAACCTTCTTTAAAGTAATAAATCTAAATCTTCAAGGTTAGATTTCGACATTAGAAAAATCTCTTGTGATTGGATTTCAAAATTCAGACCTCTAGAAGTGTCATTTTAGCTTTCTTAAACCTCAAGAAACACCTGACATTTAATCTTAAGCTACACATAACTTCAAAACATATTCTAAACATCTAAAATCACCCAACGTGTATTGTTTACCCAACAAGCAATTTACATACAACCTATTGTCTATCATCAAGCATTCATGTCATATTATTTTAATAGTCTGTGGTGACTATAAGGTAGAACATATTTATAACTTTTTTAATCAATTGACAACGTGCATGCACCACGCAGATGTAGCTGCTCGAATCTGGAACCTCTAGGAAGAACAATATTTTCTTTTACCACTAAAGATAATTGATGAATTCAACTTTTCCATGTTATAACCTAGACATTTAACATGCTAGTACTACCATAACATTCCATTATCAAGCTCCTTATAACTAACAACAAGTACATATCACGCGCAACACTTTCGTTAAGTTTTTAATGATTGAGTACTAAAATAAAACAAGAATTAAACGTTAGATATAATTTTGAAATAGACGAAAGTTTAGGGGTATTTTTACATTGATTATGTTACCCAAGTCTTCGTTTTATTTTCTAATGAATGCATCCATGTCTAACACCTAACATAGGTTCTAACATAATTAAAAGTAGGATTATCCAAGTATATTTGAAAAGGAAAACAATTGACTCGCTCTCGGATTTCGAATTATCGCTAACCTGGGAAATATCCAAGGTTGAAAACTAGACTATTTCTCTGCATGTTTTGAGGTTTCAAAATGAAAATGTAATTAGCAAACGACAGATCTCCGCCAGCCAAGTAAGCGGCGATTGTCAAGCCATTGTGCCGATAACTAAAGCGCCCCATTTCCTTTCCTTTAGCGCTTGCGCCGCGGCCGTCGACCGGCTGCTAAAGCCTCTTCGCCACATTTCCCGAACCGCCGGTTCCCTAACTTGTTCAGTGGTGAGCATTGATTTGATTCTTCTTGCGACAAGACAACAAGGAATCTGGTGGTTGTCGTGGGACCCTCAATTCACAGTTCGAGAGATATAACTGGAAGTTTTGTCGTTATTATAATTTTGGTAATAAACATTATTTGTGAATTCAGCTATCATTGGTTCCATGATCTAGTGGTTATGACATTGGACTCTGAATTCATTAACCGGAGTTCAGGTCTCGGTGGGACCTTTCTCTTCCCTATTTCCCTTCCAATTGTTTTCTCTTTTCCACACCATTACGGCTAATGGAATTTGGGGAAACAAAATTAATGAAGGTTGCCCTAAAAAAAGGTTGATTTGTTGAAAATATATTTAAGGAATCGTACATTGTTGATTTTGTTGAAAATATGTTTAAAGAATTTTAGTAAGAAACGATCTACCTTCTTATTTATGTTAAAATTATCATTTTTAATTGTCTATAAAAAATATCAAATAATCATACAGCTTGATTAAGCAAAATATAAATCGGATTGAAAGAAGAAGAAAAAAGTGTTGTGTAATCTAAACATCAAGTCGGATTCCATTTGCTTATGAGCTCCCCTTAACTTTAGGATTCTTACAAAATTAAAAGGGCATAAACAATTACTTTTGTTCCGTTGTAACACTCAAATATTATTTTGTTTCAATATTACATTTAATGTTTAATTTAGATTTCATTTTGATATTCCGCTATTAAAAACTTAACGATGATATTGACGTGTCATCATAAGATAATATCATATCATTATTGAAAAAACAAAAATGTAACGTCAGTAGTTCTATCAGCTTTTAATGATGAGTACCAAAACGAAACATAAACTAAACGTTAGGTATGATTTTGAAATAAAATAAAGTTTGAGTACCAAAACAGAACAAAAGTAATAATAGTAGGTACTAAACGTATAGTTTTCCCAAATTTAAAATTAAGAGGGAAAAAGTAGGGAGAAAATGGAAGAGTTTTGACTTTTGAGGAGTCAAATTCGTTTGTGACAGCCCTATTTTACGGGTTAAGTTATAAGAGACGATGCTTTGTTGATAGACAGCAGATAAGATAGCTTAATAAGCCTCATCTTCCTTGGCATCATCGATGGTTTTAATTTTGAAGACCTCTTTCTTTGTGGATCACACCAATGGTCTCATCCAACTGTCTTTAAATCAAACTTCAATGAATTTTGTCAAATATAAAAATACAACATGGTGATTTGACATATAAAATAAAATATTAATCAAGCAATAAGTGATAGTTAACCCATTTAAACCGATCTAAATGATAATTGATCCGGTTCAAAACTGATTTAAATATTCTTATATATTGGGTCGGTGAGTTCATTACTTTCAACAATGTTATACAAAACTGTATATTTAAGAAAATGCCAACATGCTAATAAATTAACACAGCATTGTACTTACAATTCATAAACTATACCGTGATCTAATAATAGACTTAGAAAAGAAGAAATGGACCGTCGTTGAAATATTATCTCAAATCACGTTAATATATGCTGTAAAAGTTCTATTTGCCAACTTGCATGTTGCATCGGCCTTTCAAGCTTGGTTTCCGGATTATAAGGATTTTTTTTTAGAGTTTGACTGAAACCCGAATTATATAAATAAATATATAAAATTAAAAGATAATTTAAGAAAAATAAGAATTTTAATTTGATTGAAACTTATACAATTAATAGTAGGAAGTACATTATAAATTGATATCTATTAAATAATTTATTTTATAATCAAGTAACTATCTTATAAATAAATACTACGGATTAAAGATGATTTGAGTCTTGTTTGTCATTAAATCTCCTCCTTTACATAAACAACCAAATTTGTTGTTTTCTTTGTTTTTGTTTAGAGAATGGGATCTAACCAATTTTCTTCTTCTTCTTCTTCTTCGTCCTGCAATTTGAATTGGACGGCCGAGCAAAACAAGTTGTTCGAAAATGGTCTGGCAATATATGATAAAGATATTCCTCAACGATGGCAGCAAATAGCCAAGCTTGTGGGAGGAACAACCGAGCATGAAGTGAAGAAACAGTATGAAATACTTGTAGATGACATCTACCGCATTGAATCCGGCAAAGTACCCCTTCCTGAGTATCCAGAAAATGGTGGAAATAGCTGGATTAATGATATCACCAATGAACAAAACAGGTAACATGCTGAAGCATTGATACAGTTATCTATTGATCTTGTGCTATTTTTGTTTTTTTGTTTTTTTAATGTCTACATACTGAAGCATTTGAAGCTGTAGTGGAGTATGGTCAAAGAAACAGTAGAGGCTGCTATTTCTGGGGGGAAAAGTGTTATTTATTTTCCTTTCATTTTCTTTCTTTCTTGATGTAATGGTCTTATCTGCCAGACTTTTCATCCATAATGATAAATCATAAATGTAACGATCAAGTTTGCTTTTATGTCACGCACGTCAACTGTTTTGGTATAATGGCCAAGATTTTCTTGCAATTACAGAAAGGGAGATAGAGAAAACCGTGAAGGCCAAACCTTCTGAAAATTGAAATGACTTTGAAAGCTCTCAATTACCAGTTCCCAATCCAAAACAGAAGCCATTAATCACAACGAAACACCAAGTAAATTACAAAAGAATCTCTTTTGTTTTTTTCACTTCATGCTGTTAAGCAAAGAAAACAAAAATCAAATAATGAAGGTAATAGTTACCTTCTTTCAAGCCACGAGTCTAGCTAAAATCAAAACAAGAGTAAATTAATCAGTTTCAAGCAAAAGACTACCGACATTTGATGCTCAAGTATCGTTTTTTAATTTTAAAAAGTATGCTATTATATATATATATATATGATGTAATTTATATTATATAATTTTTTTAGAATTTATTGCATCACATATTCTCAAAGTATGGCTCTCGTTTCAAATTGGCCCCTAAACTTTTGAATGTTCCAATTCCATCCCTAAAGTATGATTATCATTCTAAATAAGAATGTTCAAAAGTTTAAAATAAGATTCATAGTTTAAGGATGAAATTATAATATTTAAAAGTTTAAAGATCAATTTAAAATGATAGTTACAATTTGTGGACATATGATATAATTAACTTTTTTTATTTGTCAAGTATTTTTTTGACAATGGATGTTTATACACATGTGTAGGTGTCGTGCTTGAACTCGGGTTTATAACAACATTCATTTAATAAATGATGTTGATTGATTCGTGCATATTATAGTAAAAATAGAGGCATAATATGTTTACACTGTATAAAATTTTTTAGTTTTAATATTTTTAAGGTCGTTTGATGAGTGAAAATAAACGAATGAGATTAACAATAGGAAGTGATAAGATATTCTCAACCTGTATTTATACTCATCAAACGATAATAAAAAATGTAAAACTAAAAGTTATACATTAGATATAAGTAGATCTCAACCTATAAAGATATTGAAATACATGTTAATTTATTTTTTTAATAAATTTAATAAAATATATATATAATCTAATATTATGTAATTTTATTTATATAAAAATAATATGTATGAATGGTATGTGTGAAATGTTACATATGATTACTATGTTTTGTTTTATTTCTCATGTTTGGCCTAAATACTTCTAATTCGTTGTTTTTTAGCTTAATTTTGTTCATGAACTTCTTTGGCATACACCATCCCAAAACCGACAATTAAAAGCATAATCTGATGGGTTAGCTTGTGTCGTGGGTACAGCTCGGGATGTGACTCGATCAAAAGTCGGTTACAGCGAATTTCAGGATTTGAAAAGCGGGACTATCTGTAAGATAAAGCAGAATTATCTAGAAGATAAATCATGATTATCTATGTATTTAAGCAGGATTTAATAAGAGTCATTTATCCTTATATTTTATAATCAAAGTCTTTGGTTTTAGGGATTTCATCTTCATCCATGTGTACAAAACCTTCTTTAAGTTTAGCTAATTAAGTAGATTAGATTTCAGCATTTATTTTATTTCATCAATTAAAGTTTCTATTTTTCTTTTATCTGTTATCGCACAAAATGCTAAGCATATTCTAAACTCTTATTTAGTCTAAAGTTTTGTAACGTCTCAATTGTAGATGGTGAGAATTGAGTATCGTACTTAATACCTTCGAGATAGTATTCTTCGTTTCTCTGGAAACTAAGAGTAACAATCAACCATTCTTTTAAACATCTTCAACATAAAAAGTCAACGTTGGTTTGAAGGTTGTTTTGGCTTGTACTTTAAAAGTATATAATTTGACTTCCTACGAATAAATTTAGGAGCCGTTCATTAAGGGGAATCATGACCGAGTTGAACAAACATTTGAAGGCGAGACATTGTTAACTTAAGTTGGGCTATTCTAGAATTCAAAGTTGTCGCAGTCTGAATTATAATTACTGTAGTTAGACCATTTGACAATGATCAAAATTTTGAGTTGGTTCGAAGTCAATTAATAAAGAGAGGGGTTAGCTGCGAGAGTTGGTTCTTATAGATTGTAACTAGCGTACCGTTGAAAGGAAAAATTAATTTCGATGAACGATTAAAACTAAGCCTAAACAAAACCTAAAACTAAGAAATTACACAATTGAATTCTTTCGTTATTTTTTTTTCATCATTTATTTAATTTTTCTTTATCATTGTTACTTTGTTATTCATATTGTTTTTAACCCATTTTATTTACTGTTGTAGTTGAGTCAAAGGATTTAAACAATAAAACAACATTATTTAATTTCTTAAATACATGTGGATCGATCCTATTTTTCTATAATACAGTTTATCTTTATTAGAAGATTAGGTTTTTTTATTTGATGGATTTGACACATTATCAATGGATTAAAATCAATTAATTAAAAAATTTAAGCTGGATTTAAAGTCCACATTTTACATCAATGTAACTTAAACAGTTATAATTACAATTTTTTTTTACCAAATTATATATGATATAAATATCATACGTAAGAAGACTCGAAGCTATTCTAGTCCTACATATGAGAGTATCTTGCGCTGCACGAATGGTATTTGCCTATTTGGTAAAGAAGTGAGGAAAGCATGAACAAACGACTACCTATTCGGAAATAACTTTACCAGTTTACTAGTGGGGTTTCTAATAAGGATAAAATATTTTTTACTTCTTAAATTTGATCATTTAGTCTTTAAATTTTTCTTTAGTCCATATTGATTCCTGAATTTAGATTATTATTTTTTAATTTTTTGATGATGTGATTTAATATTTTAGTGTCGCATCGTCTAAGTAATGGGAAAGTTGTCAAATTTATGGATTAGTATAGGTTAAAATAAAGTTCAATGACTAATATGAGAAAAATTATTAAATTTAAGGACTAAAAATTGTTTTATTCCTTTCTGATAAGGGTTTACTTTATCTTGGATAAATTAATTACAGGTCATTCAATTATTTATTTAATAATAAACGAGTCATTTTTTAACAATTACAAAAATATAAATAAGTTACTTAATGGTTGAACGTCTAATGTAAGATAGTACAATAGCATCTTTATTCTCAAAAACTTATATCTTCTATTGATTTTATCTTATTTTGAAATAATTTAATAAATTTAACCTTTCATTGTTAAAAACTTCGTCAATTTAGTATTTTCTACGATAGTTTTAAACCGAGCGAACCATCATATCACAAATGATATTGTATAATTACATTCTTTCATAAAACAATAATAAATTATTATTATTATTCTAGAAAAGTAATAGAAAAATAATAGATTTTTTATATAAAAAAAGAACAAGCTATTTACGAGAAGAATAAATACTGAAAATGATATAATTTTTTAAATATAAAGAGTTAAATTTATTAAGATCAAATTAATAATTATATAACTTTTGAGAACTAGAAGTATTATTATTCCATGGCAGACACATAATTGATTGACCTGGTCTGTAATTTACTTTTTCCTTTTTCCCCCAAAGTCACTTGACTGAAACGACAGCTTGCAGCTGATATGGCCTCTCACAATTGACAAGAAATAGAAAGAAGACTTTAGGTTGGAAGGCAGCCTTTGTTAACGTGTCTAATCCTTATTGGTTGACTTTCTATACGAAGGAATTAAATGAAGCGTAGCAAGTGAACTGTGTGGATGATACGAAGCGCCTGGAATAAATAGAGGTGGGTGCCGCGGCTTCCCACTTATCCAATCAGCATCCCTAAGAAAGCGGAGCTTGTAAGATAGCTAGAAATGGCTGCTGCAGATTCACCCTTTAAGGTTCGTTTCACTGTTTAAAAACCTTTCGATTGTTAAACCGAAAATGACAAACACCTTTACATATATTAAAGCAAAACTTAAATTAGAAAGTTTGATGCTTTTTCAATGTAACAGAGCTCTAGCTTAATGTTGGTGAAAATTTTTAGCTTCGAGATGGGTTAATTTGCATTGTTTTTGTTTGAATACTTGAATGGAGGTTGACAGGGAGCAATTACCATAGTTTCTTTCATAATCAATTGCTGTGATATTGGATTTTGGTGACAGATAATATTGGGTTCTTCATCAATGGCTCGGCAACGAATTCTAGCTGAAATGGGTTATGAGTTTACAATCATGGTATGCTGGTAACTTTAGTTATTTCTCTATATACATCACTTTCGAAGGGCTTTAGCTCTTATTCTAAGTTTCTAACTAAAGGACAAAAACGTTGGGTTTTTAAACTACGCTTTTAAAAACATGGGTTTTCTGGATTTAAGTATGCCTTTGAAGGGTGTTTTAATGTATTTTCTTATTGACTTTAAGCAAGTCAGCCCTAATTTTATTGGCTGAAATCGAGTGTTTTTAAGCTTACTTTTTAATTTTTGTTGGAATTCTGTTGAGAGGGTTTTGAAATAGTTCTTCCTTTTTTATTGTTTCTCCTAATTTAGTGAAGTAGGAAGAAATTTAACTAAGGGATTTAGACTGCAGATATAGATGAAAAAAGCATTAGAAAGGAAAAACCAGAAGATTTAGTGACGGCACTTGCTGGGGCCAAGGTTTGGTTTCTTTTCTAAGCTTTGTTTTGTGTTCCACTATTGCTCATGCGTTACCAAGTATTTTCTTTTCACGTGAGCAACGTTTTATTGGACCTTTGCATTTTGCAGTGTAAAGGGGTTCTTGATTTTCTGATTTGGTTATCTGATAGGGACCTGATTCAATGGTTTACAATTTACTTCAGTATATTAGCCATTGTTAGGAAATCTCTTCATTTCATTTATCAGTTTTTATCTATCTCTTATGAGTCATGACGGTTGAACTATTACTCTTATGAATCTTAAGTTTGTTTTCTAGGCAAATGCTATCATGTCAAGGCTTCAGCACACTGATATACTACAGGAAGATGCTCACACAACATTGTTAATTACGGCAGATACGGTATTCTTCAAGTCATTTTTATTCGATATAGTTAACAACTGCACCAAGAGTCGTTGACCGAAATGCATGCGCTTAGTATTAGATTATAACTAACAACAGCTTTATTGGTGCCTCAGTAATGCAATTTCATCTTATATCTCATTGTCCTACTACTATAATGGATGGCTGCGCTGTAATGGCTGACAAGTTAATGACAACTTGTATGTATGTAAATTTTTGTGAACATATCATTACCCGTCAGCAAAGATGCTTGTTAGAGGTGATACAACTTCAAGAGAACTTGCTTTTGCTTTGCTCTTAGTTGCCAATGATGTTGCCCAACCAGCCTGATATCCTAGTCTCATTAGAGCTTTACTTAATTCGAACACTTGATCCTGGTAGTGCAATGCTTTTGATTTGTGGCAGCGGGAGTAATGCTAAAAGATTTATCAATGTAGTTGTTGTCACTATTATGGTAGTATTATGTAAGGTTAAGTAACATGTTACCTGTTTATGTAGGTGGTAGTCTATAAAGGGACAATAAGAGAAAAACCGTGCAGCGAAGAAGAAGCACGGGAATTTATAAAAGGTTTTTTTAACATTCTTAATATGATGTCTTACGAGATGAGATGGATTTACATGTCACCTACGATTGCAGGATATTCCGGTGGCCATGCAGCAGTGGTTGGATCTGTTCTTGTGACTAACCTTAAAACAGGTGCAAGCAAAGGAGGAGCGGAAAGTGCAGAGGTACCACTTATTTCTTGATATCTTTAGCTTCTTTTTCCTGAAGAGCAAAGATGAACCGCAATAAAATCATAGCTTTTCTTTTCGGAGTAAACTCTGCTAGACACTGAATCCATGCTACAAGTCATTAAGTCTATTACACTCAATCCCATCTCCGAGGTGAATAAGATTAGATTTTGTTGTGCAGGTTTACTTCCACGACATACCAAATGAAGTGATTGATAGCCTGGTAAAACTTGTTTACACATGTAATGTACATGATTTCCCCCCCCCCACCTGAATCATGTCTCTTTCTCAATTGTGAGCTGAGTCAGATTGATGAAGGAATCCCATTCAAGGTTGCTGGAGGTCTAATGCTCGAACATCCTCTTACTTTACCATTTGTCGACACCGTGGTGAGCGTCTTTTTCTCTCATTGCTGAGGTTTTAAGTTTCGAGAACAATGGGACGTTTCATCTGAGTTGATATATATTTGGGTGTTTCGGCAGATAGGGGCGACTGATACTGTTATGGGACTGTCTAAATCTCTCACTGAAAAACTTATTCAGGAGGCTCTATTTCAACAAGGTTCATCGCCTGGCGATCAGAATATGGGCTGATAGTAGAGGATAAAGCTCGAGAACTAGTGACTTCTGTTTTTTTTTCCTGAAGCAATTTGGAATTAGTATAAGCTTGAATTTCCATGCAAATAGATTTTATATTGTCAAGATATTTTCCCATGGATTTTGTTGATTACCTTAGGTAGATTGAATAATTCTTTTTGTTTGATTTTTCATCTCTTTCAATTTACACATTTTGCTCTTAATTATTGTTTGTTAAACATACAATAATGCAGAGCAAAAGAAGTTGAAAAGAAATGTAAAACTCTTTTTTCACGTATGAAATTTAAGTCAATAAGAGGTTTGATATTGAAAATGTTACAATATCATTAGTTAGTTAATGGATTGTTAATTAGTTTAATTTTGTTTCTTGATTTGTTAAAGTTAGTTGGGTTGTATTCTGCTCTTTTTTTTTATATATATATTTGAGATAAATATTAGACAATATTTGTTTAAAGATTCTCAATCAATTAACTATGAACTCTCATATTTCTGTCGGTATTCGAATATGGGATTTTTAAGGAGAATAACGAGTCTTTTAATCATTGAGGTGATTCATGCCGGATTGTATTCTGTTAGGCTCATAGTATGGGTTATATAAGCCATTCAATTGTAACGACCTTAATCTCTTTGATCCACTTTTAATAAAATAATCAGATCCCTTCTCTACTTTTGTTTCTCGCTCAATCACATCACTTGTTATACGAACATTGTTAGAAAATAGAAAAATAAATGATTGGGTTAAGGCCCATAAACCTGATGTTAGAAAATGCTTACAGCCCATCCTGAGTCAACAAATAGACAGTAGTAGGAAACCCTAATCGATAAGATCCTCTCCAAACAACAATCAGTCGAGGTTTAGGGTCGTAGTTAGGGATAGGCATGAGTCGGGTTTTTGGTCCACCCGACCCGACTCGAGAACAAGGGAGTCTCCACCCGAGACCCGACCCGGTCAAAACAAGGTTTCACCCGACCCGAAATAATAAAAAAATTCTTTTTATTCAATAAAAACAGTGACTTAATTGAAAAAAATTATATAGAGAGAGATATTATTGTAATTATTCTTAAATATACAAGGTAAAATTATATATTTTTTCGGATTAGATCAGGTCGGATCAGGAATTTTTCACCCTAAACCCGACCCGAATATTACATTTAAAAAAATCCGACCCGATCGGGTCGGGTTTGGGTTGAGTGCCCATCCCTACTCGTAGTCGAGACCTCGCGTTCGTGTCTGCCTGAAACAGGTAAAGAGGATCATCTGATAGAAAAACAGGTAAACAGGTAAACAGGTAAAGAGATATTATTGTAATCAGCTCTTTGCTCGCTATGGTGCCTACAATTCTACTTGTTTTCCTTCTGTATTGTTATCCTTCTCCCAAAAGCTTATAATTTATTTGTCAGAGCCCAGATTTTTTATTTTCTTTATCTTAAAAGAGTCGAGTGTTTCTTAAATTTATTGGTTCATTTGCTTTGCCGAAATCATTTAAAATTTGCAACTTTTTTTTTGTTATTTAGATTATTTTGTGTTAAATATTTTTCATTTTTATCAAAATATCTCCTCAATTTCTTTTCTTTAGGTTGTACAGTGACAGTCTCTATTTTTAAAAAAATAAATATTCTCTTTTAATGTTAATATTTTCGTTTTTATTTAAATGTTTTTTTAAATATGACGTGTGGCTGGTAATAAACATTACAAGGTGAAGGGCTTAATGGCCCAAATAATGTGAAATTGAAGCCATAAAAGAAAGTTGTACTGCAAAGAATAAATGGCATTTATACAGAAACTTTTGGAACAAGTAGATGACAACATCCAATAACAAGAACAACAAAATTGGGTTTTCCAGAAAGAAAAAATAAGCATACGATTTTCAGTTGACCGAGTACTATAATTCAGTTGGCAATGAAGATAATGCAAAGTCATGCCGATTGCAGGTTCGAGTAAAATTAAACTATTCACGGTTTTTGCGATCTAAGAACACCCAAATCCAAACATAATAAGTTGGTAGTCGTACTTTACAAATTGCAGCTGGTGTACGAGCACCTTTAATGTCCGATTTAGTATCAGCAAGGATGCCCTTGATAACGTCACGGGCGACACCCAAGAGCCTGAGACCAATACACATAGGCATTCAAGAGATTTCTTGTACTGCTAAAACATTAGAGTTAGCCCATGTTTGTTGTCCCCAAGACGGCCCACTTTCAAAAGATTCGAGTCATTACGTAATTACAGTCCTAGTCTGATTATGAGATGTAATTCATCAAGTAAAAAAATACCTAATCTGATTAAGACCAATCAATAAGAGATAGACTTTGTGTTGAATCAAAAACCTTACCTTTTAGACAGGCTTTATAGATTGTAGATGTAGAGGGAGTTAATTGTGAATGGAGGCCTTCCCCACTACATTTAGGAATCAATTGTTTGTTTCTTTTCTTTGAGGAATACATCAACTCTGTTCCCTCATCATTCCCTTTGTTCCCCCCCCCCCTTTTTCCTTGTCATTCATCCTTGACAAGATTTTATGCCTATTCGAAGGTTGACTTAAGCACTCGACTTTAGTATCAGTGTTTAGGGTTGCACGATTCGTTACGTTCAAGTTTAGTTCCATAACAACTGGTATGAGAGTCAAATTTATGAGTAAGACTAATCGAGAGGTTTGAGTCTAGCTCCATGACAATCAGTACAATAATCAAATTTGTAAGACTAATCGAGATGGCACAATAAGAAAGTGAAGTTGCCGGAGAAGAGGGGGTTGAGACCCGCGATGGGAAGCAAAAACGAGCAAGCTTGAGATATATTTTTTTATCCTTGGACGGAAGAGTCTACCGACTTAAGAGATATGTGAAGGATGCAAAGAATACTCGTGCATGAGGCATGCCTTGATGTGCTAAACTCCAAGGGGAATAAACTTAAGGAAGGGATACAAGACGTACTTAATGAAGTAATAGGCCATATGGACCAGAAGAATGATGTTGTACTAGGAAAGAGAAGTAAAATCTCAAAGGAAAATTGCTTCTATGCAAGACAGCAGTGAGCAATGGGATGATGATTGTTATACTCAAACCTAAGGCGGAGGCTCCAAGGTTAGAGGAGTTCAAAGGGACTAAATCAACCCCGAAAGTATGTAACTTCATATGGGGTATAGAGTAATACCTTTGAATCGTGAGTATTGAGAAAGATGTTGATAAGATAAATATTATTAGTTTTTATCTAACTGATATTGCTTTATTATAGTAGTGACGTACGTGATCTGACGAGAGTGTAGAGGCATTACCATCGAATCCTAGGGAAAGCTTCAAATTGAGTTTAAATAGTAATTTTATGTTGAATATGTTGTCGACGAAGCTCGATCAAAACTTAAAGTGTCTTAAACATGATGGAAATATCTAAGAATATGTGCGTCAATTCAACGATCTCATGTTGTGAGTTTTAAGCACGAACCAATTTACCTTAATAGTTAAAGGAATCATAGTTATTCATTGAAGTCATAGGTTCAAGCTGTTAGATTTGTCTAGAAATTAAGTTGACAAGTTGGAAATTTCATCTTGGTTGGTGGCCAACTTATTGGAAATTTCATCTTGGTTGGTGGCCAAACTTTAAACATGTGAATTTCATATTTGGTGGCTAACTTGTACACACTGGAAAATTCTTTGGTAGGTGGCCAAACTTTGAACATATTGTTCTTGAAACTCAACTATAAATAGGCCTAAGTATTTCCATTAGAAATCATCCCAAAAACAAGTTATCTCTTCCTCTTGTATTCTTCATTCTTCCACTTTGGGAATTCCAAAGAATTCTATTTGTTGTAATATTGGCGATATAGTGAAGTTATCATCCGGTGTGGTGCCCGAGGAGTAGACGATATTCTCGTCGAACCTCGTAAATTTGGTGTGTTCTCTCCTTTATTGTTTTTTATTCGGTTCTTTTCATTGTGTTTCAATATTCAATAGTTTGACAGGTTTATCCGCTGTGTAACCTTTGGTGGTTTTAATCTTGACATTTTATGTCAATTTTAAAACTACGTTCGTGTGGGAAATAACCTGTTTTCCCCAACAATTGGCATCAGAGCTTCGGTTGAGGTTATTCTGGTGGTTCCGTTGCTGAAAAGATACAGTTCGTGATATTGAATATTGTTCGTTAGAATTAAAATGCCAAAATACGGATCAGTTGAGACATCAAGCTCTTCATCTGGACCTGTGAGGAGGGTGATGTCAAATGCAAATTTCTTGGTGGAGTTATTCGATGGATCCGGTCATTTTGGCATGTGGCAAGGCGAGGTGTTAGACGTTTTATTCCAAAAAGGTCTAGACATCGCCATTGAGGAAGAAAAACCCGAATATATGGAGGAGAAAGAATGGGGAATAATCAATCGTTTGGCGTGCATCACGATTCGATCTTGTCTTTCCAGGGAGCAGAAGTATGGCTACAAAAACGAGACTTCTGCAAGTAATATGTGGAAAGCTTTGGAGGAAAAATTTTGGAAGAAAAGCTCTCAGAATCGTCTACATATGAAGAAAAGATTGTTTAGATTTGATTATCAACCAGACACCAGTATGAATGAACACATCACTGCGTTCAATGAGCTAGTGGAAGACTTATTGGGCATGGATGAAACCTTCAAAGATGAAGATTTGGCTTTGATGTTGTTGTCATCTCTTCCAGATGAATTTGAGCACCTTGAGACAACGTTGCTTCATGGTAAGGATAATGTTACCCTTAAAGATGTAACTGCTGCTTTGTATAGTTATGAACTCATGAAGAAAACCAAGAAGGAGAGCAAGTACGAAGCAGCAGAGGCCATGGTGGCAAGAGGTCGCTCGAAAAGTCAAAAGCCAAAGTGGAGAGGGAGATCAAAGTCGAAGTCCATATTGGGAAAAGATGAATGTGCCTTTTGTCATGAGAAAGGCCATTGGAAGAAAGATTGTCTGAAGCTGAAGAAGAAAGGAAAAGCCGCTCTAGATGCATGTGTTGCAGAGTATGATGCACATGACTCTGACATATCATTGGTTGCTTCATCAACAACATTCCATTCCAATGAGTGGA